TCAAACACTACCAGGGTGCAATAACCCTCGGCACATGCATGTGTACCGTTCATATGATTCAATCCATACCGACGGTGTCAAGGGAGGGAGCCATGGGGACGCAGCCGGCAGCGGAGATGGCGCCATGGGAGGGCCGGTACCCCAGCACTCCGCAGAACGATGCTGGGATGCGGATGCTGCCTGCTGTGTCCGTGCCTGGTAGGGAGGGCGGGGAGGGTGGGGAGGATGGGGGTTGGGGGTTTGAAAGGGAAAGTGAAAAGTGAGAAGGAAGAGGAGGGATTACAGGGGTCTCAAGAGATGGCGCCATGGGAGGGACGGAACCCCAGCACGCTGGAGAACGCTGCTGGGATGCGGATGCTGCCTGCTGTGTCCGTGCCTGGTAGGGAGATGGGGATGGGAGGACTAGAGCAGAGAAGGACAAGGGGGGAAAGAAGGGCAAGGAAAGGGCGGACAACTTTGGTTGAGAAAAGGGGACGGCCGAGCAACGAGTGGGGAGAAGGGGGACAGGGGGGACAGGGGGGAAACACAGGAATAAGATCCATCCCATGTGCATGTCAGGGCAGAGGTACATGAGAGCGAGAGCATGCGACAATGGGCTTGGTTCGGAGAGGCAAGGGGACAGAACAAGCAGCAACAAGCAGCAACGAGCAGCGAGGGACAGGGAGGGAGGGCAGACGTGTGCAGTGGAAATGCAGTGAATGGGAGAGTATGTGATGCATGGGAGGGCGGGTGGTGGATTGGGGGCTATGCGGCGCATTGATGGGAACAGGTGGCGCATTGGAGGGCAGAGGTACGGCGCAGTGGAAATGTGGTGCATGGAGGGGAATGGTGGGGGCGCATGCGGGGGAATGGTGGTTTATGTGTGAAGGCATGTGGTGCATAGGGCTGTGGGCATGGGAATGGAGGATGACACATACCGAGAACGAAGTCAGCTAGGTCGGCTATGTTGAGATCACTTTTTAGAATTCTCAAAAGTGAATGGAGGATGACACATACCGAGAGCGAAGTCAGCTAGGTCGGCTATGTTGAGATCACTTTTTAGAATTCTCAAAAGTGAATGGAGGATGACACATACCGAGAGCGAAGTCAGCTAGGTCGGCTATGTTGAGATCACTTTTTAGAATTCTCAAAAGTGAATGGAGGATGACACATACCGAGAGCGAAGTCAGCTAGGTCGGCTATGTTGAGATCACTTTTTAGAATTCTCAAAAGTGAATGGAGGATGACACATACCAAGAGCGAAGTCAGCTAGGTCGGCTATGTTGAGATCACTTTTTAGAATTCTCAAAAGTGAATGGAGGATGACACATACCGAGAGCGAAGTCAGCTAGGTCGGCTATGTTGAGATCACTTTTTAGAATTCTCAAAAGTGAATGGAGGATGACACATACCGAGAGCGAAGTCAGCTAGGTCGGCTATGTTGAGATCACTTTTTAGAATTCTCAAAAGTGAATGGAGGATGACACATACCAAGAGCGAAGTCAGCTAGGTCGGCTATGTTGAGATCACTTTTTAGAATTCTCAAAAGTGAATGGAGGATGACACATACCGAGAGCGAAGTCAGCTAGGTCGGCAGAAATAGCAACAGCAGAGCCGCTGGACGAGCCTCCTGGCACGTGGTCGGGACACACGGGGTTCACTGGCGTGCCCAAAGCCTTGTTCTCGCCGAATATGCTGCCGTGAGGAAAGGGGGGAGAGTGGCGGGGAGAGTGGAGAGTGGGAAGGAACGGGGGGGTTGTAGAGGGAGGTTGGGGGGCACGAAAAACGCATGGAAGGGACGGAAGCAGCAGCGCTTTTGCATAGAAAGGCAGCAGGGAATTGGGGAGAACCGTCACAACACCATCACACCGCTTCACTTCATCCCACCGTCGCTCACCTGTACGCCATCTCGTCCATGTGCGTCTTCCCCACCAGCTGCTCATTTTCTCATCAAACTTACAGCACACTGCCTCACAGTACACAACCTCACCTCACAGCATCCCATCCCACCGCCTCCCACCGTCGCTCACCTGTAAGCCATCTCGTCCATGTGCGTCTTCCCCACCAGCTGCGCGCCAGCCTCCACCAGCTCCCTCACGCACGGCGCCGTCTGCGTTGCAGGCGCATGGCTCGCCTTCCACGCGGGACTCCCAAACCCTGCCACGTGGCCCTCCACGTCGAATCTGCCAGCAGTGGAAGCGTGAAGGGCGAATGGTGAAGGGTGGAAGCGTGAAGGGCGAATGGTGAAGGGTGCAAGCGTGAAGGGCGAATGGTGAAGGGTGGAAGCGTGAAGGGCGAATGGTGAAGGGTGGAAGGGTGGAATGCAGCCGTGTGAATAGAAACGGTCATAAGGGACATTCAATCCGAAACGATACGCACACGCGTCAAGAACTTAACTAGCGCTCAACTTGCCTCCCTTACATGTCCTTAATGACGAACGTCAGGCCGGTCAGCGGGTGCGGCGCGGCCGGCGGCGGCGGCGGCGGGGGCGGCAGCAGCTCCACCTTCTCGGAAATGGCGCCCCAGTCCTTGGGGATTCCCCTGCGCCTTCTGCGGAACATGAGCAGTGCGCCGGCGATCGACAGGCCGAGCAACGGCACGATGGCCAAGAGCTGCTGTCCCATGACTGAGTGAGTGTTGCTGCAGGCAAGAGATCGAGCGGAAGGAGCGGAGGAATCAGGGAGAGAAGGTGAGGTTGACGAGAGGGAGATGGGGGGGAGGGGAGGAAACGGGTTGTTTGGGTGGAGGGAGGAGAGTGGGGGGAGAGGGAGGTGGGGTGGAAGGGGAGGAGAAGGGGGCGAGGAAGGCAGGCAACCATTGATAACGAGACGGGTTGCGGAACTGGAGAAAGATTAGAAGCAGTTCCGTGAGACAAAGACGACGACGACGACGACGACTCGAAGGCAAAAAGACAGATCAACGGATCGATCTGAGGAACATTATCCAGAAACAAATCCACATTTTGTCGTCCGGCGTCTGTGGGTTATCTAACCAGAGTACCTTAGTCGTTTGCACACACACAAAAAAAAGCCCGCGGCGCCAGCACACCTAATGGGCCGACAGGATTAAAGAGTTATAGGGAGGTGTTGTCAATCTCACAGTAACAAGAACACGGCATGGCGACATTAGCTGACAAAACGAAGACAAGCAAGAAATGGGGACGAACGTTGGCCAAACGATAGGACATGACGGCACATACGCACCTAGAAGTTGGATTCCAAGTTTCAAATTACTGAATGACCAATCTGGCAACCTCTTCCTCCTCTTTCCACGCCTTATCGACTTGTGGTGCGAAAAAACGCGGATCTGAGGCGATCCTTGCGGTAATCAGCGAAGAAGATCAACCGTGTCCAGCGTCGATCAAAGGCTAATAAGGCGATCCACGGTGATCTGAGGCTATCAACGACGATCAGCACAACGGCAACGCCGGTTCTGCGCCTAAAATCCGTTCGCGTCCCGAAATGGAGGCGACTTGTATAACGGATTTCAAATGTCGGTACTCAGTGGATGTAACTCACACCGCGCATCGCGTTACAACACTTCCCACGCAACACGCACCCGCGATCACGCGACCAACGCCGCTGCGAACGACGAAATAATCGGGCGTAATAAAGTACTGCTGGCGCAAACCGAACGGGCCAGCCAGGACAGAATCTTCCAGAAGAACCAACATATGAGGAGATGAGCAGAATATTCGGAAGAACAGCTTGTTCTGTGCATGTAGAACAGTGCAGCGGACTTGGAGGCTAGGTATGGCGAAGCGTGGTCCGGAGGCTGGTATGGGGGGATCTGGGGTCTTGAGCAAGGCAGAGATGTCTGTGCCAGGGCTGATTGTTGGTTTGGAATGCAGCTTCGAGGGAAGGGAGGTTTGGTTTCGAGACATCCTAGGATTCTGGTGATTGGATGCAGCACTTTCCAGCAACCTGGGAAGGCTGATTCGTTAAGACGCAGTCTGACGTTTCTCTTGTGTAAGTTTGCGTGTCATGCTGCAAGCACTGTATTCCTCATAAACTGATAATACGCTCTTCGTTGTATGGATCAATTACCTTCAATAAATCAATAATTCGGAAACGAATAATACATCCTTTGATAAGTTATGATTTCGTTGATTCTCCGATTATGTATTACGGAGAAGTGTTCTCAAAAACATATTATTACCTAAGTAGTTAAACGGTTCAGTATCATCCATCATCCTACATATTACTCGACGTTTTCCTAACTGCTTACAAGTGAACACTGAATTACCTGTATCTATATTTTTCAAGTCTAGACACTTGCACAATGCCCGCGGTGGAGAAACTCACGTTCTGTTCACGTAGGGATCAACCTATCCATTCACCTCGCCACGTCAGTCTCTCCCGCCAAGTCTTAGTGCTGTGGTCTTGCGCTGCGGACGAGCGCCTACAGAGCCCGCATGGGTGCTCTACTCAAACCTCCGCGCCCCTGCAAACATTTCCCCGTGCTGTCCTTTCCCATCTTACTTTCTCCGCGCCCCTAGCTTCATGCTGGAAAAATCTCCACCCCGATGCTCCCTAGATATTTCAAGGACCAGGCTCTTCTCTTCATGTATGACCTAGATGTGTATTTCAGCTCACACAATGACAAAGCGACATTTTGGCATTTTTGGCAGAGAAGGTCAGTTTCGTTTATTCCTAGCCTAGGATGCGTTTTACCGTGTTAGGTGCTTGTGCAGCGACGTAAGGGACGGGTGCTCCAGCTTTCTAAGCGGTTCCTTTGTTCTTCTGCACCGTTTGGGCTTTGGCTTTTTAGATCGAAATTCTAAGCGATCTTCTTGCTTGACACGGATTTTCCTGTGTTGGAATGTTAGTCATGTTCACGCCAAATACGAAGTTTATAGATGCTTAAGAATCAGATTCTCGTCTCGAATTAGTACTAGCCTTATTTTTTCTGTGTGAGTCTCACTCTTCTTTCCAAAGCTGATCGCAACGCAAAACTATTTTAGCGAACGTTTTCGGTCAAGCTTACGGAAATTTTAGTTTGCCATTTTCCTGATCAACGTCATGTCGACGCCTTCAGCAGAAGCGACTAAAACGAGCATTGAAGAATCACCAGATGTAGCTGCTCCTGCAGCTCCTCCTGCACCTGTAAATGCGTCCCTAGACCCTCCTGAAGAGAGCGCCGAGCAGTTACCGTCAGAAACCATAGGCGAAGTTGACGGAACCACGAAAGCTGGCGAAACCGGAGAAGTTAGCGAAACCGGCGAAATCGCGAAAGCTGGTGAAGCCGGCGAAAGCGAGCAAGCTGCCGGGGCAGAGGAAGAGGAGGAATACCACAGCGATCTTGAGGATGACGTGGAATTAGTTCCGAGACGACGCGGCGCGAGCGATGATGAGGGTGAAGAGGGAGAGGAGGGCGATGAGGAGGGGTTTTTGGATGGTGCGGAGGGGGATGGAGGGGAAGATTACGAGGAAGCGTATGAAGAGGCGGAAGAATCGGAGGGTCTTGATGATGGGGCAGGCGGTTACGCGGAAGAAGATGCTCGTCTCGGCGCCGCTGACGCGGCAAGTTCTGACGGGGAGATGCCAGGGTTTGGTGACATGGCGGCAGCAGGAGGGGCAGCATCAGGTCCGGAGGCGGTCAAGGTAATTGGCGCGGAGGGGACAGACCGGCCGGGGGGGGAGGTACAAGGCGCGGAAGCGGAGAGTACAGCGGAGGGCCAGGGCGGAGCAGCGGAAGGGGTTGCGGCGGAAGGGGCTGGTGCGGAAGGTGGTGCCGCGGAAGGGGATGCTGCGGAAGGAGCAGCGGAAGGAGAAGCGGAAGCGGAGGTGAAGAAGGAAGCAGAGCCGTTTGTGGTGCCGACGTCTGGCGCGTTCTACATGCATGATGACCGCTTCGGTGAAGGCCAAGGCGGGGGACGATCCAGGTAAGCCCGTTGTCTTGATCTTCAGTCGCGTCAAAACTACTTCCGGCGCGATTTCCATGCAATGATCTCTCCGGTGAAGACCCAGGCGGTATGGATTTTGTCGTATCTGTTGGATCTGCTGTTTCAGATTTCGGTCTATATGTGGTGTGTCTGAGTACCCAAGTGCTCGGATCGCGATCTTGTATCCTGTTGCTCGAATCCGTCTAGATTCGTGTAACGTGCCCGGCCCGTTGTTGAATACGTATTCAACCATGAGGGCCTTAGCTGGAATGCACGGGGTGAACAGCGGGATCAAGGCCTTATTAGAAGGAATTATAATAAAATCGGTTTTGGATGTCTCAGAGTTAGGGTTATGTGGACATGGGCCTGGTTATGCATACCTGGGTTTGTGTGGTTAGGGTTACGTGTCGAGCGAGCGTTAACCGCGCGTGCTCGCCAGCCCCGAGCGTTAGGCTGCCTGGAGGGTGACTCGGCAGGTAAGCTTGCGATTTGAAACGCGCCTCAAAGCACGTTTGTTGAGACGCATGTTGGGGCAGGTCATTTAAGATGCATATGAAAGTGGCAGCGCAGTCTGCTGATTTGTCATACCTTTCAGACGATTCATTGCCCAAGTTTATGAATCAATAATCAATGTTTTTTTTTACCTGCCCGTTTCCGGTCTGTATTTCTTTCTCGCAGGGGCGGAAGGGGCGGGCGCCGTCTGTGGGAGTCCGGGCGGGAGGAGAAGAAGTGGAAGCACGACCTGTTTGAGGAGCTGGAGCAGGAGGAGAGCAACGGGTACCGGGAGCAGGGCGGGTGGGAGCAGCAGCAGTTCTCGGTGAGATGTGGGGGAGGAGTGTGGGTTGTAGAGAGGGTTTGGTGTGGGATGGAATGGGATGGAGTGGGATAGAGTGGGATGGCGTGCAGTAACGGGTACAGCAATCTATGCACGGTATTTTCAGAGGCGTATGCAATGTATCTTGCTAGGAGCACTGCCTTTCTTATACGTGCGTGACTGTTACCCCGACTGCCCTCGCACCCGCCCCAACTTCACGCCTCTTCTTCTCTCCCTTTCTTCGTCTCCCCCGCCCTCCCGTCCCTTGCTCCCCGGCCTCATTTCCCTCTGCCCCATTACCCGCTGCAGGGACGCGGAGGCCGCCGCGGCAGGAGGGGAGGCAGGGGCGGCTTCTTTGGCGCAGAAGGGGGCGGATGGCCGCGAGGAGGAGGAGGGGGAGGAGGAGGTGGAGGCGGAGGGCGGGGGCGTGGCAGAGGAAGGTATGTTATTCCCAACCTGAGAAGAATACGAAATAGTTCTGTCCTGCAGTTGTTTTACCCCGGGGTTGGTGGAGGGCTGTGTAATTCAGACCCGCGTCTGCCCGTGTGTTACCCCACAGTGTTCTCTTTTCGTACGTCCCCAGCTGCTTTTTTCACATTGGGCAAGCTTTTTCTTCTTCGTTTTTTTCCTGGTGGCTAGCATTAGTAGTAGTTAGATTCATTGTTGATGATTGACGACGCGAAACCTTGCGTGTGCAAACCTTTGAAGGGCGAAAGCTGCCTACACCACCACACTCTGTTGAAAGCAAACCTTTCGAATCAACTCACAACAATCTATCGAGTTAACTAAAGACGCGTTGCCAATCACTCATATCAGCAGTTGCTACCATGCCACTGCACCACTGCAACTCCTGCTTCCCAAGCCCATGTTGACAAATAACGTGCAATCTTACCTCTGTCACCCCACTCTCTTCACCCCATCCGTTCCCTCGTATTACTCCGTTTCAGGGGGGGTTATGGCGCTGGCGACCCGTTTTTTGCTGCTGCGACCCAGCAAGCAGAGGGCGCAGCAGGAGCTGCAGCAGGAGGAGCAGTAGGTGGTGCTGCTGCTTCAGGTACTGCTGGTGCTGGTGGTGGCTCTGGTGGTGTTCCAAGCGCGTGGCGTGGCGTTATGGGGTCGGCACCAGCAGCAGTCCCCGTCCCCGGTACTGGCATCCTCGCTAGCTCCCCCTACGCTGCATCTGCATCATCATCATCAGCAGCAGCAGCAGCAGCAGCAGCAGGAGCAGGGGCAGGAGCAGGAGCAGGAGCGGGGGGAGCAGGCATGGTGTCAAATCTGGCGCAGGGGATAGGGGCTATGTCAGTAACCCCCGCTGGAGCATCTGCTGCTGCCTCGGGTGCAGGAGGCACAGGGACGGGAGGGGTAGGATGGCAGGACATGGGTGCGGAAGGAAGGGGAGGCGGGGGCGGGAGGGGGGGCGCAGCAGCAGGTTTGGGAATGGGTGGGCGCGGGAGAGGCGGGAGAAGGGGGAGGGGGGGGCGAGGGTATATGGGGACGGGTTCTGGTGCAGGGGCAGGGGGAGGGGGGGCGGAAGGTGGGGGGGATTCCGGAAGTTTTGCAGCTGTGGGTGGAGGAGTAGGGGGAGGGGCGGCAGCAGGAACGGCAGCTGGTGCTACTGCAGCAGCATCAGCCTCTGGAGGTACTGGTCTGCTACAGCCGGTTAACGCTACTACTGCTGCTGCAGCTGCTCCTGGTGCAGCTGCTACAGCTGTGGCTCCTACTGGCTGGGGTAATCCCATTCCCCAAGTCACGGGCCAAGGGGCGGTAGCAGGGGCAGGGGGGATTGGAGGAGCGGCAGGAGGGGGAGTGGGAGCGGCAGGGGGAAGGGTATCCGGTGTGGTGGTTTCAGGACCGGCAGGGGGCGCGGGAGGAGGAATGGGAGGAGGAGGAGTAGGAGGAGGAGCAGGAGGAGCAGTCAGAGGCAGGGGTTATGGCGGCGGGTACGAAGGGAGGGGAGGAAGAGGAGGGAGAGGAGGGAGAGGGGGTCGAGGAGGAGGGTATAGGTACTTGGGTGGGCAAGGCATGGGGGGGGATGTTGGGGGGGGCTGGGCGGGGGGAGGGGGAGCGCAGGGGGTGACAGGAGGGGGTGTCTCTGGCGGGCGAGGGCAGGAGCATTATAACTGGCAGCAGCAGCAGCAGCAGCAGCAGCAACAGCAGCCGCAGCAGCAGCCGCAGCAGCAGCAGCCACAGCAGCAAAAGAAACTGACAGCGGTCGGGGTGCGTGATTTTGTGCCTGCCAGCCAGCAGCAGCAGCAGCAGCAGCAGCAGCAGCAGCAGCAGCAACCGCAGCAATATTACCATCAGCAGCAGCAGCAGCAACAGCAGCATTACTACCAGCAACAGCACTATCAGCAGCAGCAGCAGCAGCAGCAGCAGCACTACCAGCAGCAGCAGGCGCGGTGGCAGCAGCCGCGATCCCAGGTTGCTTCTGGTGCAAATGGGACTGATGCAGGGGGAGGTACATATGGGGAAGGCTCTACCCAGGCGGGAGCAGCAGGGGCGGCAGACGGATGGGGAGTGAAGGGGCGAGTGGATGGGGTTTCAGGGGGAGGAGAAGCAGGAGGAGCAGCAGCAGCTTCAGCTGAGAATGGATCCGGAGGGGGTGGTGATGTAGTGAAAACGAGCACGGGTGCAGCTGTGGCAGCAGCGGAAGGGGCAGGAGCAGCAGGAGGAGGAGGAGGGGGAGGAGCAGCAGCAGCAGCGGTGCCAGGAGCAGCAGCAGAAGGAGGAGCAGGGGGAGTAGCACAGGCCGGAGCACAGGCAGGAACAACAGCAGTGGGGTATGCGGATCAGGCTGGTAGCAGCAGCAGCACTGGTGGATTAGACGTAACTGCTGATATGCATCAAAACGCAGGGATGGGTGCGGGGATGGGTGGAGGCATGGGCGCGGGTATGGGCGCAGGGATGGGCGCAGGGATGATGGTACTGGGAATGGATGGATCGACCATGCATATGGACGGGGGAGTGGCCATGGGGGGTCAGGCGATGCAGAGTGGGGCAATGCAGGGAGGAGCGATGACTGCAGGAGGAATGGGAGGAGCGGCAGGGAGTATGATGAGAGTCAGTGCTCCGGATTACACTCCCAAGGGCATGCAGATGCAGCAGATGCAGTATGGGCAGCAGCAGCAGCCGGGAGGGGCGGCGGCGGCGGCAGCAGCGGCTGCTGCGGCGGCGATGGGCATGGCAATGCCGGCGTATTCCATGGGGCAGGCGCCGCACTATGCCTATGCGAGCACTGAGGTCACTTGGTGAGTTTTTTATAGTGGGGTTGTGCTGTGGATTGTATGAGGAATGAGCAGAGATGGGCGTGGCGATGCCGGCCTATTCCATCGGGCAGGCGCCGCACTATGCTTATGCAAGCACGGAGTTCACTTGGTGAGTTTATAGCACGGTTGTGCTGTAGAGTATGTGACAGTGGGCACAGGGCGGTGCAGCTAGCAAGGAGGGGGGGGGTTCCGGGCAGCCGTTCATAGCCGCGGTGGATCCCTCAATGCGCTCTAGCTAGCATTCCACTCACTCACCCACACTCTCTCACCCTATCCCTCACCCCTTCATCCCCCCTCCCCCATCCTCCCCCTCAACACCCCCCCCCCCCCTCCCCCAGGGTGCCAGTGCTGACGCCAGGGGGAGTGGGAGCGGCGCAGCTAGCAGCAGGGGGATACGGGCAGCCGTTCATAGCAGCAGTGGATCCATCCAACCCCACTGCCGCGCTCTACTATGCGCCTGCTTCCGCTGCTGGCCAGCAGGCTGCCGTTTACGCCGCTGGGGGCAGGTGAGAGTTGTTTAACTGGGTTGTGGGGGGGAGTGGATGGAGGGGGTGAGGGCGGGATGGGGGTCTGGATGGCAGGGGGTGAATGAGGGGAAGGTGGGGAGGACAAGAGGGAGGGGGTAACGAGGGGTAGAGGGAGGGAGGAAACGGGGCTACAGCACTGGACCCCGCGAGATCCGGACATGGCTCAGTGAGTCGACTCAAAAAGGTAGAAAGAAAAGTGGATGCTTATTCTGGCAAACCTGCTACGCACCGCCTGCTACACATGGGTTGTAAAAATAGTACATAAAACTAGAGGATGCTGGCATTGCCTCAAGTGTCTCATAGCTAGCAGACCATATCCATCAATCTCCCCTTCCTTTTCTCCCTTGTCCCCCTCGCACCCCTCTTCCTCTTGCCCTTCTTCTCTCCTGTTCCCTGCTCCCTGCCGTCGCCCATGCCATCAGTGCACCTATGGACATCTCAGCCTCGATCGCCTCTGTAGCAGCTCTTTGGAAACCCCCACGTTGACTTTTGAGTCAACTCAAAAGTCAACTCTTCCTACCTCCTCTTGCCCCACTTCTTTTCATGTATGTTCCGTGCTCTCTGTCGTTGCCCATGCCATGCCATCAGTGCACCTGTGGACATCTCAGCGTCGATCGCCTCTGCTGCAGCTCTCTGGAAACCGCCACAGCAGCAGCAGCTGCCATCCGCCACAGGTGTGTGTGTGTGTGTGTGTGTGTGTGTGCGTGCGTGCGTGCATGCGTGCGTGCGTGCGTGCGTGCGTGCGTGCGTGCGTGCGTGCGTGCGTGCGTGCGTGCGTGCGTGCGTGCGTGCGTGCGTGCGTGCGTGCGTGCGTGCGTGCGTGCGTGTGTGTGTGCGGCTGTGTATTTTGTGTTCAGGCATGCCCTTCACATCAAAGTTTTGTGAAAGAGTTGATGCACTCATAAAGCCTTTGATGTTCCAGTCTTTCGTTTTCCTCCTCTGCTATATTTATCTTTTCCTCCGGTTGACTCCCCTCCTTGTTCCCGCGCTCCCCTCTCTACCTACCTGCCAGTTACAGAAGTGCTTCCTGGTGACCAGGAGTACCACTCATCACAGCAGCAGTGATTTTTTAGCATCAATGATTCCAACAGCAGCCGCAATTCCAGCAGCAGCAGCAGCTGCTTCAGCTTTCAGCAGCAGGGATCCCTCCCTGGTATCATATGAGGTGGCTTTCACATCGACATTCAAGGTAGCAGCACCTGCGATTTCAGTTCCTGTTGAGGCTTCCACTGTTGGGAACCGAAAGCCGAACACCTGTTGCATGCAGCACCACTAGTACCGTGTGACGGAGCAGCGTTTTCTTTCCGCGAACAGCCCAGCCTCAACCCAATGAAGAGACTCCAGTGCAGCAGATGCCATGCCATGCCAGTATGTGTTGACGTGAATGACGTGATTCTGATACTGAGCCAAGAGATTTTCTGTGGACATTTGCGTGTGGGTCAGTCAGACCCGATGGGTTTTGGAGGGGCATGCTCGAGGGGTTTTGTTGATTCCTGAAAAACGGCTTCTGGGATGATTGTGTTTGGATGGGTTCGGAGGTGTTGAAGGTGTAAGTTGAGGGGTGGGGGTGGGAGTGGAGGGGGATGGGTTTCTGAATCAGAGATGGAACGCAGGTGGCAATCGTTGGAGTGGGCGGATTGGCTGTGACAATAAGCTGTGATGAGATGGGACGGGAGATGCATATGGATGGGACGTGACTGGATGGGATAGGTTAGAGCGGTGGGTGGGATGGTATGGGATTGAAAAGGGTATGACGTGATGATTGACATGAAAAGTCTCAGAGTGGAAAGGGTGGGTTCTCAACCTGCTACTTCGGGCTGTGTTGGTTTGGGGTTAGGAGGGAGTCGGGCGGGACTCTGGACAGGACTTGGGTTCGCAGTGGTGGTGTCGGTGGTGTGGTACCGGTACTAGTACGTAGTTTCAGTGTAGGGTGTGGTACCGGTACTAGTACGTAGTTTCAGTGTAGGGGTGTTTGAGTTGGTGACACTGCACTGGGTGTGATAGTGATGAACTGTGGGGAGAACAGGTTGTTGGCTTGGCATTCTTGTGGGTTGGAGTTGGGGCTGTGGTCATGCATGTGGACTTACGTTACGGTACCGTACCAAATGTTGTAATACAGAGTGGAGTTAAATTGCGCAACTACCATACAGCCCTGTTCTGTGTGATAAGAGGGGGGGAGGAACGGAGCCTCTTGTACGGTATCTCTGAGGCCTGGATAGTGTCAGGGCTGAGTTGCTGCCCCCCTCAAAATCCACTGAGCTACGGTATCACTGGTCTTGTAATGTGTGAGGAGAAGCAACGCGGTGTGATTGCCTGGTGTTTTGCTTTGTCTCATACGGTACCATATCATCCAATGGTTGTTCCTGTCTCGATGCTACCAACCATAACCATATTGGCGTGTAGTATCACCACCAACCGAGTCATGATAAAAGAGTGGCGCTATATGCATGCATGCGCCATTATCACAGGACAGGAAGCTACGATACTGTAGTACATGCCACACCATACATGCATCGAGATTTAAAAAAAAAAAAAAAAAAAAAAAAAAAAAAAATCAGGTCCAGCTTAGCCTCCTTCAGATTGCGGTACTGTTTTTATAAGCAGGCGAACCGTCACCCAACCCAAGGTTGATAATTCGATGCCAGGGGTAGGGCAACTACCGTAACTAGCATGCAGTGCAGAAAGAGGACAGATGAACGTGGGAGTGATTGGCTAAGGAAGGAGACTCCGCACCAAGGGATGGAAAGCAGAGTGACGTGACAACCAAAGGAGGACGACAGGGCGCAGCAGCATAGGAATGTGAGGAGGAGAGATGGATGTGATGGAATGAATGAGTGATGAGGAAAAAGAGGGGTTGGGGTGCAAGGAAGAAGACAGAAGGTGGAATTTGAAGGGAGAAGGATAGAGAGTGAGAGACAGGAAGCGCGGAAAGTTGGGAAGCAGCTTAAAACAGGGGAGGCTCCTCTGTTCGGAGTTTTGCTGGCGATGCAGACACAGCTGGAGCAGCAGCAGCAGGGCCAGGCGAGAACACATCATCCATGAGAGACCCGGCAGGAGCAGGTGTGGGGGCAGGCGCAGGAGCGGGAGCAGCAGCGGGAGCAGCAGCAGCATCAGATGATGCAAAGAGAGGAGGGCCGTGGTCCTCCAACGCCCCAGAAGATGACAGCCCTGCACCACCACCTGAGCCTGTGCCACTGGCAGCAGCACCAGCAGCAGGACCAGGTGTATCATCATCGAAACCAGCATCCGAGACAACACTGTAACCGCCAGGAGCAGAGGCTGAACCATCACCGAGAGAAACGGTTGGGACCTCCCCACGCTCCTCCTCTGCTTGATGCACCTTCTGCAGGGTCTGCTGCTTCACCTCTCCCACAATCTCGCCGAGTTTCCCAAACGCCCCAGCTAACCAGCTGGCACTGGTAGCCACATACTGGTTCTTCATCAGATACTGCCCGGCTTCGGAAATCGAGGCTTCCGCTACAGCCGCTGCCCCCCGGGCAGTTTGCGAAACTTTGTACTGCTCGTCGACCGTCGTCCAGGAGCGTGCCACCGTCTCCTTGGTCTCGGAAAACTTTTGCGAGATGGCGTATTTCTTGTCGAGTGTGGCAGCAGTTTCGACCGTCCGTTCTTTCAGAGCAGCGACCTGGATAGAGGCTGTACGGGTGAACTCATGCTTGTTGTCAAAGTCCTTGGCCTTGCTTGCTGCGTCCTTCCCTAGAATGTAGCCTGAGGCGAGAAGGGAAGCCACTACCCCCTCTGCAGACTTCATGTCGGGGGCTGTGAAGCTAGAACTTAATGAACTGGCAGGAGACTGCTCGGGAAGAGAGAGGCAGGGGTAAGCAGGGGGGAAGGTAGGGAGGAGAGAAACAGGGTAGGTGTAAAAAGGGAGTGGATGGGGTTTGGAGGGGAGGGATGTTGTGTTGGTATGACTCGAACTTGCCTCTCAGATGAAGCATCTTGTGGTCACTTTCTCCGCCTCTTCTCTCTCCCTTTCTCCATCAACATCCGTTTTCATATCATGTGTGAAACCCCCACCCCTTCGAAAGCAACGTACCCCGCACAAAGCGACCCTTTAAAAGCAAGCACCACAGCTCATCTCCCCATTCAAGTACCGCACCGCACCTCCCCATCCAAGCACCGCACCGCACCTCCCCATTCAAGCACCGCACCGCACCTCCCCATTCAAGCACCGCACCGCACCTCCCCATTCAAGCACCACACCGCACCTCCCCATTCAAGCACTGCACCGCACCTCCCCATTCAAGCACCGCAGATCCCCAACAAGCACCGCACCTCCCCAAGCAATCACCGCATCTTCCCTAAGGGCAACTACCTGCGCGGATACAGCCCGCTGCACCTCCTGTGCCACGTGGGAGGCTCTCTGAGGGGCTTCGTACCCCTCCGCCACCTCCACTATGATTGGCTCGTCCACAATCACCGCGCCCTGCTTGGGCGAGGGCGAGCGAAAGCGCAACAGCCATAGGAAGGAGGGGGAGGGCGAGGGGGGAAGGAGGTTGGGTGGGGGGGAGAGGGAGGGAGGGGGTGGGGAGGGAGAAAGGGAGGGGGAGAGGAGACGGGGATGACGAGAAGCACTAGTTTAAGGGGGTCGAGGGAAGGGGTGTGGGGAGAAGGGGAGGCGGGGAGGGGGGGGGGACGGTGAAAGGCGCCAAGGAAAGGAGGTGCTATGATATTGAGTTGGCAAAAAAGCATCTCAATTGGAGACGATAGAAGTTCAGGCACAGGATGACGTCAGAGGCGACGCACGCAACGACCGGAACTGCAAGGGATATATACAGTCCGTGAATTCCGGCGTAAAATCTTCGTACCGTCAGAAGCAGAGCTGTTTCCAGCGCTCTCTCATCCGCGAACGTCACGTACGCCACCTGGCCCTTCTTCAGATCCCTGTCACCCGCGAAACAGTGAGATGAAACGGGCTTAGCGTGAAAGAGGAACGTCGACCGACGGACTTCTGTGTGACCAAATGCCTGATCAAGAAAGTGAATTCAGAGCCATTGTTGTTGCAAGCGGAGGTAAAAGGAATATAAATGGCTGTGAATTCACTTCGATACCATAAACGAGCTGCGCGAGAAGCTCCTTCCAGATTACCATCACTAGGCATTCTAAACTGAATCGCGTGGATTAGTTTTTCAAAGGATAAAAAACGGTTGATCCGATTCGATCCGATCCGATCCGTTCCGAATCTCGTCACATTGTCCGTTTAAGATCCACTTGTGGGGTTCAGACGATGCAGCTGGTACTCCCACTTTCGCTCTTTCCTCAATGTCACTGCATCCAACTGACCGATGCTATTCATGTCTCGGATACTTACGTTTTCGTCTCAATGCCAGTGATTTCTCCGGAGAAGGAGAAGAACTCGTAAATGTCCTTTTCAGACGCTTTGTAGGAGATGTTGGACGCCTGGATTGAAAACTGCAAGCGGATGGATAGAGAAGGAAACAATGCCATGTAAGGGGTGGAGAGGGGTGAAACACGAGGAAGTTATGGAATGTGGAAAGACGGCGAGGGAACAGGATGAGGAGGACGATGCAGGTAGAGGGAGACCGGAGAAGACTGAATCAGAATCGGTAAATGAGAAAGCCATAGAGTTAGAAATTATAAAATAAGGGCTGGATGACGGAGCGTACCCCCATAGTGTCTGTCTAGGTTATGAGACTTGACGCGAGACGGGAAGCAGGCCGGCGGCCGATAAATTACAGAGCACTCTCGTTCGAGGCCGTCACGTCTATGTGAGACGAAACGTTCGGGAATGTTTTGCCAAAGTTTCCCAGTTACACTGAATCGTTTGAATACCAAAGACCACAGCAGGATCTTAGGAATCAATGGACGGCTCTCTGATTCCCCGCAAATCGCGGAACAACGACTAGATGAACCACCAGTGTAACAAATGCTCAAGGGTGAATATTATTTCGAACGTCAGCTGAGGTGACTGACCACCCCTCAAGGGTGGAACTGTGCTGGTATATGATGCTTGCTGGTAGGTGGCTGCGATTATCAATCACAGAAATTACAATCTCTTACCGTACGGTACTGCAATTCACCGTACCGTACTGTGCCGAAATGCATCTGTATACTAAAGGTAATCCCTAATGCGCAGGTGCAGTTGAAGTGTGAAAATGCTGATGAGCGGGGGATGTGTCGCGCGAAAACCAAGAGGCGGGAAATGAGCGAGTATGCTTCCACAGAGGGAGGGCGGAACTGAAGTCGGGAGAGCGGAAAATGGAAGAGCGGAAGAGCGGAAGTAGCAAGGTGAGGGGAAAGGCTGGTAGTAGTCTAGTCCAGGCCTGTCGATTGACGGGCATATGCCCTTAATGCCCTGAACATTAAGGGCTAGTTTCGCTCCAGCTCCAATGCGTCAAGTTTTTGTTTCGCACCCCACCCGTGCCACTAAGTGCTTCATTCGACCCTTGCCCGGATGCGTTAAGGGACGAAACCAGGCCTTCCCCTTTATCTAAGTTTTGGTTTCAGATCGTAGGACCCCCCCCCCCCCCTCCCCCCCCTCTTTCTCCTTAGCCTGCACTAGAGCGCGCCAAGGGGATTTTTCCCTTAGCGTTTTGTAGCCAATCCCGTGTGTGTAGCGTGTCTCTCAGTCAGCCTAGGAGCACCCGCACATTCCCTTAGCGTCCAATACGAGCTGGCCGCAGTGTACAGCTGTGACACATGGGATTATCTTGGGTAAATCTGGCTAAGTTGTTTGGCCACAGAGACATCTAAGACACTAAACCACAGCACGTCAAAGGAACTGAAGCACTCCAGCGCAGCAGCTCCCTCCCTCACCACCTTCGTTCGTGCGAGCCACGATTCCTCTCCACCACCATGCAATCCATCCACCACCACATCCCACCCATGTTTTCTCTTCCGCACCGTCCCACCACCTCCACGGTATCATCCACCCAAGCCCTCAGCTCTCCCCTCCCCTCTCGTACGTGCCATGCTATGGCACTTCTCCTCCACCCAACCACTCTGCCGAGTAAACCTCGCGTCGCCTAGCTCACGCACGCGATGTTTATAGTATGGGTAGCTAACCCGTTCGCTTCGTCAGCCACATTCTCCCACAATGGATCCTAGCGAGGGTGAAACCCCTCCTCCAGTTTTGCCCATGTCGAACGTTAGTCATTCTCATACTACGACCGAGACCGAGCCTTACGTACCCTCGGATGCTGAAGACATGCTAGACGTAGCAATCTCAGTGTTGGACCCGCGCCTCGCCCAGCAAGCATCATCGTCACAGACTACACCTCTGTCAGCAGCCCGCTACCGTCAGGTTCACCTTAGCTTCGCAAGTCCGCCACCAGATTCGCGAAAGCGCGCACGAAGCGTACCGCCTCCACCCACTGCTGAGGAGCTGGAGGCGCAGGACAAGGCTATCGCCGAGGATGCAGAAGTACCCCGGGACACCGAGATCCCTGCTGCTGAGAAGGGTATGGCACGTCGCTTCAGCCCGTCGTGGAAGCAGACGTACTCGTGGCTGACACTGAAGTACAACAAAGAGGAGCGCCTGTATGGTATGAAGTGTTCCGTGTGCTGTAAGTTCGCTCCTAACACCAAGTCTCCCTTTGGCGGTGCTGGCGTCGGTGCAAGGGACTTTCAGAAGTCGGCGTGCCGCAACCATGACCAGTCCAAGGTGCACCTCGCGGCCATGGAAGCAGAACGACTCGCTGCTGGCACGGAGGTGAGGCAGCGCAGCCTCGTGAACATGCTCAGCGGCGATCCAGTCATGGCGAGGGTCGTCAAATGCATGCAAGCAGCTCAGTGGATTGCGCAGAACGATGCACCGATCGCTCTCTACCCCATGCTGGTGCGGTTCATGGCGGAGCAAGGATGCCCCGACATGATGAACAGCGAATCCTACGGGCGTTATTACTCGCGGTAAGTGTTTGTTACCCTCTGGTTCTGCACCTAATGTCCTGCTGTTTCTTCTCTTCGTTGCCTCTGTATTTTCGTACTTGTGCTTGTGTTATACTGTGAGTAACGTACATTTGGTGCTCATTGCAGATACGCCTTCGGCGAGTTCGTAGAGGCTATGGCGGAGCATCTGGTGGCCAGGCAGCTCGTGGACGTCAAAGAGTCGGCCTGGTACAGCCTCTCCTTCGATGAATCCACGGATCGCGCCCGCGGAAAGCACCTCATCGTGTATGTCACGTTTGAGAGAGGCGAGGCCGTGGTGTCCCAGTTTCTTGCTCTCCTGTCGCTCGAGCGTTGCGACGCCGCTGCACTGTACGACACGATCGTGAAGTGCCTGTGGTCGAAGGACATGTCGATGGACAAGCTTGTCGGGGTTTCAACGGATGGTGCATCCGTCATGACTGGCTCGAAGAACGGAGTTGTCGCCCTGCTTCGGAAACGTTGCCCGTGGCTGGTGGCGATTCACTGCGTGGCGCATCGGTAAGGTTGCACTGCAATGTCTTGTTATCTTATTACCGTCGCCATACGTACTCACGAACCTGTCGTGCTTGTGCAGCGAGGCATTGGCTGCAAAGGATGCCGCGAAGAGCTTCAAGGAGTTCAACGTCGTCGATCAGATGATACGCCAGACTGCCGAGCGTCTCGGGCGTTCATCGACCAATCACAAGACCTACATGCATCTCCAGGACGTCATTCTGAAGACGCACCTGGAGGTGCAAGGCTTCTGCACCGTCCGTTGGCTGTCTCGCGGAGATGCTGTGAATCGCTTCTGCGACGTGCTGCCGGTGCTGATGTGGATGTGGACGAAGGAGAAGGACGGGATGGAGAAACTCGCTACCAGCTTCAAGTTCCACTACATGCTTTACCTCCTGGCTGACGTGCTGCAGCTGCTCAACGGACTCAATCTTGCCTTCCAGAAGCAGACGGTAAGATTGACATGAACATGTACTAGGCGCTTCTTCTCTTAAGTGCTTGGTTCTAATGTTTTCCCGCTCCGTTTGATTTCAGGTCGACATCACAGAGGTGAAGAATCACGTCGACAAGGTGAAGACCAAGCTGTCGCGGTACTACGTCGAGCCCAGCGCATCCTACGGGCCGAACACCTCTCGCCTGAACAAGTTCCTTGCTGCACACGGCAGCAAGGACAAGCGCAAGATGGAGCTCAAGGGAGTGGGTGGCGACGGCAAACCTGCAAAAGCCGAGATCGAGCTCCACGAGGACATCATCGACCCTGAAAACCCGGGGGGGGGGATGCGACTTGGAGGCCTGCGTGGACCTGGCGCGGCGTTTCGCTCAGCGCCTGATTAAGGCGCTGGGGAAGAGGATGGCGGACCTGCGCCATTTCGATGGTGTTGGGTTTTTCACCCCTGATAAGTATCCCTTCCGTGCAGGAGAGCAGGACACATGGCTGCAGCACCATCTCACCGAGCTCCTGGACATGTTCAAGAACCAGCTACCTGGTAAGCCTAGATTAGTATGAAAGGAACCCACGTATGTTCTAACTTTGTACGTATTATGCTCACACAATGACGTAATCTAACTTTGTATATGTCCTTGGCAGGAGTCGCTCTTGCTGACATAGAGCCGCAGATGCGCCTCTTCACAGCCACCATGGAGAAGAAGTTCAAGAAGCAGAGCTTCCATCAGGCTCTCACCAACATGCTGCGCACTGCAGACTGGAAGGATGACTATCCCACCATAGTCTCTCTCTGGCGTGCGGTCTCTGTGTTGCCCCTCAGCACTGTTGAGTGTGAGAGGGGCTTCTCCCGCCAAAACATTATTAAGTCGTGGGATCGTGTTGCTCTTACTGATGTTAGGCTGGGGGAGCTGATGACGGTGAAGATGCTAGACTACCCGGTGGACTGGGCAGCGGCCTATGCCTTGTTTGAGGATAAGGGGAGGAAGGGGAGGAAGCCTGCCAACTAGGCTCGCATTGGATGTCGGGTTAGAGTAGAGTAGCTGAGCTCTGCATGCCATATCTGTAGTTAGTGTAGAGAATAAGAACTTTGCAGGCTAGGTAGGTTTAATGACTATTTAAGACATGTGTAGTGTTAGGTGTCTTTGACTTCTAATTTAAGTACATAACAGCACTTATCATAGTAAAATGAAGTGTAAGTGCAAACTTCAAACATGCCCTGATTTCAAGTTCTGACTTTGGGGTGCGCCCGTGACCCTTAAGGGCGCCAAAACGCTCACCTACCCCCAACCAAGGGTCAGATTGGGAGGAGCTGGGGAGCGCAAGTACGAGCCCCAGGAACTTCGACAGGCCTGGTCTAGTCCCCTCCCCAGGAAGGTCAGTTCTTCTAGAGGAAGCTGAGCTTCGGGATCACTGAGAACCAGCCAATAGTGTGCAGGCTTGGAACACAAATCAGTGGGTTTGGTTTGTATTGATTGGCTCGGTACTGCCAGTTTGATGGAGCATCAAAACGAAGCAACCTCACGAGACTCCTATCGAGGCAGTGTTGAAACACACCGCGCCACTCTATATGACTCGTAAAAGGCAGTCCCTATGTACAATTACACTACTTGCAACATATCAAAACAAGAGGGACACACATTTCGACAAACCCCTATCGCCAATCCCACACTAACCTTTAGCATTTAAAAACGTTTCACAAACAAGCTTTGTACATCCCAGCACCTGTACGGGCAAGCTTGTACTGTACTCCAACCACTACTCCCTACCTCCCTAGAGTATGCTCAGCATCAATGCAGGTCCTTGAGTGGGGGAGCACATGCGGATGGAGAATCAGCCTCAGCCATCTCCTCCTCCCGGCCACTTTCTTCACCATCGTCCTCCCCAGTTATCTCCTTTTCGAACTTCAGTTGCAGCAGCATGGCTGAGAGGATAGCAGTATACGCAGCTACCTTGGAGAACCGCATTGTGTGGCCGCTTACGAATGCTGCACCATGGGGAGAAGTGTGGGTGAGGGGGTGTGGATTGGGGGCAGGGGATCGAATGAGGGAGATCTCGGGAACGAAAGAGAGAGGTGGTGGTGGAGCAAGAGGCCTGGGCCAGGGCGTTTTAAGCTCAAAACCGCATGAACCGCATGAAAAAACTGGTGTTTCTTTTCACTGATACTGATGACAAATCAGGGCCAGCTCAGCCTTCCACACCAGCCTGGCTCCGCAAAGCAGAACATCCATTGCATGGAAAGGAAATTAAAAGAAAATCGGGGAGACGGTGTGAGGGGGAGGGGGGGGGGAGAAGGCGTACCAGTTGTGGAGCTCCACAGGAAGGACACTAGCACGAGCGAGAGGCCAGCATGGAGAATCCGTCTGTACATGGATACCCCTCCGTCCGTCCCCTCTCCACTCGCCCGCCCCTCCTGTTCCATCTCGCCGTCACAATCATCATCCCACAGCCCCTCATCCCCATCCTGTCTGTTGATTCTGTCGGAGATAAGGACACCATTAGACCGCAACCCCCCAGCACCACCACCGCCGCTGCCACCACCACCGCTGCCGCTGCCGCTGGTGATCTTGCTCGCTGTTGGAGAGTTCTCAAATAGAGCAGCCTCTGCAGCAGTGGCAGACATGGCTGTTGCCGCAGCAGCAGTTCGGGACTTGGCCGCGCGGGACTGGCGAAACGCAGGGGAGGAAGGAGGCGCGGAGGAGGACGAGGAGGGGGATGGGCGGCGGCTTAGGGGGCGGCGGCGACGGGAGGAGAGCGAGGAGGAGGAGGAGGAGGAGGAGGGGGAGTAGAGGTTTTTAAAAAAGAGCCCCTCGTTGCGTGAGGAGTATACGCGTCGCTCAAACTCCTCAAAGTCCTTCTGCTGGGCCTGGAGGGGAGGAGAGGCAGGGAAGGGAGCAAGAGGGAGAGACGTGGGAGTTCGTGAGTGAGTGAGTGAGGGAGGGAGTGGGTGCAAAGGGTGTCTTCAAGAATCTATTGCGGCCGTAGTAAATGGTATTGATCGTCATGCGTCCACCTTCAATTTTTGTATCTTTCATAAACCTCGCAACCCCCAAACCCAGACGGAATCAAGATGCAATCTACAATTTGATTTCGGAATTTCTCTTCAAAAGCTCTAGAAGCCGAAACCGTTGCCACGCAGCATGCAGCTAGGAAAAGATGAAGGACGAAGAAAGGAGCACAGGGCAAGGTAGGGTTGGATAGGATAGGGTCCGGTAGAGTAGGGTTGGGGAGGTTGGGGTAGTGTAGGTGTAGGGTAGGACGAGCGAGCTCACCTCCATTTCCTGGCGTGCTTTCTCCAAGTCTCTCTCGATGGCGTATGCCCCCGCATCCAGCTGACGCAGCACCTGTCGGTGGATGCCACGTGGAAACGGGCAAGTCATAAAAAAAGAAAGTGGTTGTTGTGAGAAAAGGAAAGCGCCAGAGCGCGCGAGACATCACAGAGGCCAAGACGTTGAAACAAAGATTCGCTGGTCCAGATTTACGGACTATCTTTCGACCCCGCTGGTGAGTTAATTCGACAGAAGCACCACGATGACTGACGTAACACCCACCCCGTGGCTTCGCGGCGCGAGGGGATGCGTGGAAGCAATTATGACGTATCATCTACCACGCTCCGTCGCAATTTCCCAATTGTCTGCGACGTCGGCGATGACGGCGGCGACGAGGACGAACGACGGCGACAGGCGACGGCGACGGTGATGATGATGTATCGCCCATGACTCCTCACGACGACTCGCGGTGACTTGACGACTCGCGACGACTCGCGACGACTCACCCTGTCGCTCAGGTCGTCGACGCCTTTCATTGTGCGATCGGCGATGCGATCCAGCTGCTCGTGGCTGTCGCGCGCGATTCTCCTCAAGCGCGCCGAGCGCTCCTCCACCAGCGAGTTCATCCGCACCTCGCCCATCTGCGGACACAGTCGCCGTGCGACGACGCGTGTGACAGAAAAAAACGATGTGAGCGACAGGGGGTAGCGAGCACGTCCCGCCAATTCGAAGCGAACAAAGAAAAAGGAGGAGCAAGAAAAATTACGACAACAAGCAAGCGAGATGAGGAGGAAAGTTTTGGAAAAAAAGTCACGCAGCCTTACCTGGAGCCGCACTATATCCACCAGCATGCGTTGAACCTCGTCGCTCCTCCTCGATTCTTCGCCCGCGTCGTCCCACCCCCTGCTCCGGCGGCTGCCGGCGCTGACGACGAGACTCCGGCGATCGCCTCGGGTTTCGTTGGCGCTGACGTGCGACGGAATGCGAAAGCCGCGACGATGGGCGCGACACGCTGGCGAGGGCAGCGCGAGAGGTAGTCGGCGAATCTTCGATGCGGACGGCACGAGGTGCTGCGACGAGTGTAACGACGCGGCGGCGGCGGCGGCTGCTGCTGCTGAGCTCCCCGAAACACCCGATAACGAGCACGTAGTGTGCACGCGGCTGGTGGTGTAACCGGTTGCGGAAATAGATTCCATGGCTGCGGATCGAGGTGAGAGGAAACGGACAGGTGGCCAACGGGCGAGTGATTGCGTATGGAGTTGCCGGTACGTTGGAGGTGCCTCCTTGACTCGAACCGTTGAAGGTGCCCGTTCTTGAAGTTCTCGCGAGTTGCGGACCAGAGAAAACTCTCCGTGGGCACTTCGCTGTGAGCGTTTGTTGCAGCGGAGAGAAACGAGACGTGCTGGCACAAGATGGGTTACCAGAGCGGGATGCGCACGGGATCTGATCGGGCCGCGGCTGGGTGTTTCTGCTCGTCACTCAGAACGGCTTCGAAGGCGAGAGTCCTCCGAAAAAACCAGCATGTGCTTTCGAAACGCGTTAAAATCGTTTTCGGAATCAGTTAAGAGGTCCGAGCACGGGCTGTGAGGCGTGTTTAAGAGTCCCAACTTGATGATTAACCGCGAGGAGCCAGATGATTCCCAAGTTTCACCTCCCGCGTTACACACAACAAGACAACCCGCGACCGCGAGGAATTCGCGAAAAAAACTTTGATAACTAGGTTCGAAGACCGAGGGAGAATGACTGACGATGCAATCAAGTTGGATTATAGTAAGCAAAAGGATCCACGGACGCGTACGAGATGGCGGGTGCAACGGAGCACACGGCGCAGATGGAAACGAAACCAAGGCAGCGGTGAAGCAAAATCAGCAGCTTGTGGGAGATCAAGAATATTTGAGAGGTGCAATGAATCGATCAACTGGGACGAAGACTCGGGATACAGCGGAGAATTGGAGCGGGCAAATGAGCGGTTGAAGGTGAGGAAAAGGGTTAAATGGAGAAGTAGGTGGTTGGGAAGAACGAGAGCAGGGAGGGAGGAATTCGAGCGTCCAGATGAGTGTGCGAGGAGAATGTTTCTCCTTTCAAATCCCAACCGAATGAACTGGGAAATCATCAGCCCTAGCATGGCACATGTCGCGGAAACGCGCTTCGGGAGGACATTTGCTGAATGTAAAATTGTAAAGGCGTGTTTCCAATAGTGACGACCCGGTTGTTTATCAAAAACATGTTCAGAGAGCCTTCCACTTACTACTGCGCGCCGTCGTTTTTTGGACTAAGTGTTAATGAATGACCGAGAACCAGTATTGTGAACGAGGATCTCATGATTCAGAGTCTGTTCCGGGCCGCTAATGGTGGTGAATTGATGTTCCAGATCTCCTTCAGTCTTCGCGCTCTTTGTTGCCCACCTGCGATTACCTAAAAACACGTACCATCATCCAATAGCATGTTATGTCGTAATTTGATTAGCCTATGAAAATTGCCATTCTGAGGAATCTCCACATGGAAGACGCTGATTCGGTTACCAGCTCGATGAGCTTTGTCACGTGGTTCGTGACCTGGCAAGCATGCTGCGAGTCGCACCTTCTTACAAAGTTTGTAGACTCATTTCCAATGTGGTCCACGTCATGACAATATGAAAAGGTTCACTCGCCGAAATAGCTACCTGCCCTTTCAGCTGTACGAGAGGCCAAGCCATGAATAAATGGAATTCCACTCAGACACGTAGGACCACGTCTAATTTTTCAACACACCAATAGCACAACTCTTTCGCATTGTTTGCGGAACGATAATGGGACCCAATCCGAGGTTTCCTTTTCGCAGACACTGTTACGCCATACATATAGAATATCCACATATAGTATTGATAAATAGCTTAAACCACCCAGGAAACATTTTGCAGAAAATATGGTGTCATTGCAACAATTAATTTCGAGCACACCAATATCCAGCTGAATTATAGATGAATCATATATTCATTACTTTTAGGCATCGTGAGATATAGGCAAGGCTTATTTTATCAGTGTAAATCACCCTGATACTCTGATTATCAATGTGGTTTTTTGTAGTCACACTGATGCCTTCGGGTAATTTTTTTGGGAGCTTGATTTTTCCTGATGTGCCAGGGTTTACGATTAAGGCACACTCTCACCTCAGAGTTGCCGTTCCTCTTAGCGAGTTTTACCCTGAAGCAGGCACTCGGTGTCGAGATTAGCTAGGAAGGAATGTGTTGGATTAGGGCAAGGAGGGGGATACAATTGTTGGGCTGAGAAAGGCCCTTAGGATATTTGGAGGACTAAACTCTGGGTAGGAACAATGTAATAGCGGAAGCGTTTAATGATAAGTCTATGAACCACCTTGCGCTGGTCTGTGAGGGCAAAGTAGATTGAATAATCAAAGAGATACAAGGCCTTTATAAGAGTACAGGGAATATGAAAAGATGCAACTAATAACTGTTTTACTGTTTGATATTGCGGTTCGATACAGTGACGACTCGGGCAACTGCTCAATAGCAAGTCAGTTGTTTGTCCTTGCTGTCGTGCTGTACTTGTTAGGTCAAAGGTCGCTGACCTTTGACTTTCGCGTAAACTCCGGCGGTTTCTTCACTTCTCAACCTCCAAGTGTTGACTCGCCGATGCTTCGCTGTGCTTCGCCTCGTTTACGACTTAGTGTTTCGACACACAACAGAAGCGTTCAAGTAACTTGTTTCCAACACTCCCCTTCGCTTCTGGAGTGTCGCTGCTAGTGACGTGGCTCTGTCCAGTCAGCAACATGCAGTACTCGAACTTCTGCTTTCCGAGCTTCTTGGTTAAGTAGTCAGCTCCCATCTCAGACGTGGGGCAGTAGGACAGCTCGAGTCTCCCCTTCTCGATCTCGTCCTTCACGAAGAAATATCGCAGAGCGATATGCTTCGTTCTGTTCGCAAATCCATCCTTGTTGGCTATGCGGATTGCAGACTGATTGTAGCAGAACAGGGAGCTGAGTAACTGGGCCAGCTTCGCCTCTTCCAGCAGTTCGCGAAGGTCAAGTCCTTCCTTGGTGGCTGAGCAGAGTGCAATATATTCTGCTTCAGCTGAGGAGAGGGCAATCAACTCCTGCTTGCTCGACTGCCACGAGATGGGTCCGATAGGTTCGAAGCGATAGATGTAGCCGGTGCGCGAGCGTTTGTTGTCGGTGTGAGGATCTAGGATCGAGCTCAGAAAAGAGAATTGTATTTCATTGATTCACCTGGGTACAACACGAGGCTATATATAGTCTCGACACAAGGCCAGTTACCCAGGTGTTACGCGAATGTTCTGAGGGTCGCGAAGCGTCCCGAACAGAACCTTCCCGAACAGAACCTTCCCGAACTCAGTAGAAAGCAATTCGGTGGAAACCGAATATGCTTGAGTTCGGTATACGTAACCTGGTTCGGTGCTATAACTATAATAAAATATAGGAATGCACCTAACCTAGGAAATCAAACATATCTATTCATGATAAATAAAACCCAAGCTACAAATAGCATAATAAAGTCTAGGCAAGCTAGCAAAGCCAGCATAAGCTGTCGTACTCTCACACGTCCCCCCCTCAAAGCTGGGTGGCGTGAGAAACACCCTGCTTGACAAGATAGTCCTTGAGAGCACGGCGTGCGTTGCCCATATCAGCTTCTGCAACCCAATTGTCCTCAGTGGGGTCGTATCCCTTCCAGCGTATCAGGAACTCGAGGGTCTTGCCGCCGCGGCGTCGATGAGTGAGAACGCGCTCCACTTCGTACTCGGGTTCATCTTGTATGAGAACAGGTGGTGGTGGCGGTAGCTGCCGTCCCTGGAACTGTTGGTTGGGGTCCTTGTAGGGCTTCATTAGCTGGACATGGAAAGCGTTGTGAAGCTTCCACGTATCTGGTAAGCGCAAGCGGAATGTTACTGGTGTCACCTGTGCCTCAACGAGAAAAGGACCACAGAAGCGAGGCCGGAGTTTGGATGGGAGGTGAGATAGGTTCAAGTTGCGCGTGTCAAGAAGCACCTGATCTCCGACTGCTACTGAGTGATCTCGTCGCTGACGATCGGCATACTGCTTCTGGAAGGTCTGCATCGTGGTGAGACGTCGCTGAGTCTTCTCCCATAGCTGCTGCATGGTGGTGACGAAGTCGTGTGCGGCTTGGACGTGTGCCGGTGTGGCTGGCTGTTGCGGTGTAAGTGGTTCCCGTCCGTAACATACGAAGAAAGGAGTTTTCCCTGTGGCCGCATGTGACGCGTTGTTGTAAGCGAACTCAGATATCGGTAACTGTGTGTCCCAGTGGCTGACGTCGTCTTTGCAAGCTGTGCGCAATAACTGTTCAACCACCTGATTGAGTCGCTCGGTCTGTCCGTCAGTTTGTGGGTGGTATGCTGAGGACATCGCAAGTTTAGTCCCCAATAATCCCATGAGCTCCTTCCAGAACTTACTCGTGAATTTGGGGTCTCTGTCTGAGATGAGTGTAGCAGGGATGCCGTGGATGGTGATGATGCGGTCGAAGAAGAGGCGAGCAGTTGCTTCAGCTGTAGCCGTGGCGTTGGTCGGAATGAAGTGACCCATTTTAGAGAACTTGTCGATCACCACGAGTATAGCGTCATGCCCTCGTGAGGTCGAAGGAAGTCCCGTGATGAAGTCGAGGCTAACGACT